AGCTTTATATACAGCATATTATGGTATTTATAAAAATATTATACATAGCTTTTCATATCTCATTCAACTATAATATTAACAACAATAACACACTGTACTGTATATATAAAATTTTATATATATTCATCTCAATGGCTATTATATGTTATCAATCATACCGTACGACAAATTGTGTACTTTATTTTAAACACTGGTCTCTCTCTYTCTCTCTCTCTCTCTCTCTCTCTCTCTCTCTCTCTCTCTCTCTCTCTCTCTCTCTCTCTCTCTCTCTTATCTTCTCTAACTCTCTTAAGAGGTACATCTCATTCAATGACACTAAACTACAGTTACATACAGTAGTATCAAAATTATATGGACTACCAGTGCACTTGAAATGATCAATGAAAGAGTCATATTTATATATATATATATTACTATACAACAAACAACCAAAAAATAAATTTATGATATGACTGTAGTAGTGGTAGACAATGTCTGACACACAAACAGACAGACAGTCATCTCTCTCTTATAGTCTTTTTATTTTTATTTTCCCAGAAAGTAATATATCTCACTATAGAGATGTATATAATATATATACTGTATAAGAAAATTCCTATAACTTACTATAAGAGCACCGGTATCTCTGAAATTGATCTCTCTATTTCTCAACCATACCTTTACAAAGTAAACCCCATTTTTATTTTATTTGTTAATTCCTATATACAAAACATTATGACTTAGATCACAGTCTCGGAGAGAAAGAAAGAGAGAGAGAGAGAGAGAAAGAGAGTCATGAATGGGATAGTCATATATATCATCTATAAGGAGGACAAACATGTAAATCTAGATTCATATCTTTTTTTAGGAGTGAGAGAAAGTCTGAAAGATTTACACCACTCACTCACTCACTCACTCTCTTGTGTGTCTATTTGAGTGAACATAATCGCCGGGTGCCCCCCGAGTGGGTACACCTGGTGCCACCAAAAATATTGTAATATCATCATCATATCTCTCTCTCTCTCTCTCTCTCTCTCTCTCTCTCTTTGCTTATATAATAATACAATATTTATCAACATATTGGCCATATATCTCTCTATGAGACTTTAGAAATATATATACCGTACCGTATATCTCAAACTGTGGCACTGGTATGTGTGTGTGTGTATGTATCTGTCTGTCTAATGTGCACTAGTAGTTATGACTTGGGGGAGAGGGGGTGAATCGATAAGCCCATATACTATACATTTCTCTATCCATCCATTATAACTATTAAAAAAATAAATTAATGTAAAAATAAACTTTTATACAAAACATTGAGCTAATAACTAATAATAATACTAATAATTTGAATAATAACTTTTACAAACACACTTACCGGTAATATCATATATCAGTAAATATTAGTAAATATTTGATTTTTTTTATATCAATATTTATCTACAATTATACTATACATATATACTGTATATAAATTAGTATTAATAATAATAATATTGAATATAATATATTATATTATACATAAAAATAATATATTCAAAAAAAAAACTTTACACACATACAAAAAAAACTTAAGTCTCAATTATCCTATGAATACATTTATATCACAACTATATATACTGTATATATATATATATAAGTTATATATATATGAATGACTGGCACAGTAGACCTATTTATTTCTTCCTCCTCCTTCTACAGCTACCAGTGCTCCGGTCGGTCGGCAGCTTCGGGAGTGTAAAGTACAGTCAAAAAAAAAAAGGTAAGATATTTTTTTTGTAGAGCATATACTGTATAACAAAAGTAGGTATATATATATATATATATATGATATATCTATTGGCTTTATTTTTTTCAATACATGTTTTGTCAAATAAAAAAAAATTATATTTTTTTTATGTGTGTGTATGTTAGTCAAGTAATCTTAAGTTAACAATATATTTATATAAATATAAACTGATTTTTTTTTTGAGGACACCATATGAGCATTAAAAATAAGGTGTCTGTCCTTTTCAATACCAAACATATACTATAGTTGTTAACCATAGTGTGTCACAAATCAATTGATATCAAAAAAATTAATTATTATTTTATTCAATCAATCTATAGTATATAAATTATGGTTTTTTGTTTGTTAGATATATAATTTTTACTACTACTACTACTACATTACATTATGGTTACTAGAAAAAAATAATTGTTTTTTTTGTATGTATGTAAATAATTTGTTGATACATATATTTTTTTGTTGTTGAAATAAATGGGCATTTTGTTGTTATTTTGAAAAAATGTAATTGATCATACAGTCAATGATCTCATAATACCGATATATGGTATATCATAATTTATATATCAATATACAGTACAACAATATACATGTAGTTAAAGGTTAAACAGAGAAAGAGAGAGAGAGAGAGAGATATGATATATTTATTTTCAAACTTTTTTTTGTTATTACTTACTATACTATATATTGAAGATCAATACATTTTTTGTGTTGTGTTCACTTACCTATACAGTGTATACATCTATTCAATACAAAGATAATCTAGCAATTTATAATGAAATGATTTATTTTTTGAAGCGCCAACAGTCAGGTAGGCGTACCCTTTGAGATCCAGTGTCGATATATATATATATATATATCCCCGAAATATAAAAGACAACCACACCACCACATATAACAATAATACTAATAAGAATACAGCTACTGTTCCTTTCTATCTATCCTATCTATTCACATCATGGGAATGGTATAATATTGAAAGTTTTTTCAAATAAAAAAAAGGTACATTTGTGAGCTAACTGATTAATGTGCTTAACACGTAACAAACAGTACCGATATATATATATATATATATATATATATATATATATATATATATATATATATCAATACAACTCATACACAATTGTGTGTCCATCCCGGTGTGTGTGTGTGTGTGTGTGTGTGTGTCACTGACACGGCACCGGTGCCTGTCTTTTACTACCGGTGCGTTTACTTTTTATTTCAATAAACTAAGATTCACATTATATAGACGTTATATATATAGGAGTAGTAGTCTGTATGTCTATTCAATTGAATTATTGTAATATTAAATAACACACACACACATACTGTATATAAATGTTTAACCACACATTTCAATACATAAAATTTCAAACATCGGGTTAACCACCAAATATACAGTACTGTATAGAAATGTAGATCCATTGCCCAGAAAAAAGTGGTATTCATGTCAGAACCATTTATTAGGTAATTCCCAATATATATATATATATTTATAAAGTATGACATATCACACACACACACATCCCATATATATATATATATCTTTCAATATGTTGTTCCTATTGATTGAGCACTTGTATTGTCATAACTCATAAGAAACTTGAAGATATATTTTATAAATATAATAATATACCTTACCTTACCTTATATATCAATATTATATAATATAAATATATATATAATGTATATTGAATATTGAAAACTATTTTGTGCGTAAAAAAAATCAAAACTCATTGAAAATATTTATTTTCATTCATTCAAAAAACACTTTCTCACTCCATATATATATATATATAATACTCTATTGAAAGTGAAACCCATTTTTTTGTGTTGAGGTTTTATATAAACTCCTTTAAAACCCATTTAATTGTTGCGATATATATATATAAAATAGTATACTCTACTTGTATGCCCTACCTGTGCATCAGCCCCTTACCCCTTATATTTTATAGTATTTAAAAGGGAAACGGTAGTCTATTATATTATAATATCAATACCCAGAGTATTATACACAGTGTATATCCCATATATATATATATATATATAAATAATATAGCAATTTCCACATCAGTATTATTATTTAATATATAACTTATAGTGATATATAAATTTAATAATCTTGTTATGAAGTCATAAGCATACATAAAATATATATATATTTATATATTATACATATATTATATAATTTGATCCACAAAAAAAATTTTCGACACATACCTGGATGCACACCCTTGAAGGTAAAAAATTTATTTATTTTTTGCTTTTTTTAGGTGTGTCCTCCTATGTGTACAAACTTATTGTATGTATAGCCACTTTTTTTTTGCATGGATAGATTAACTTTATGAAATATTTAAATATATATTTAAATATATTACTAATCTAATAAATATTTATAATATATTTCAACAACAATTCCCTATTGAAATAAATAATTTTTATTGTAATCATAAATATATTATTATTATTATACAAAAATTTACTAGTAGTCATAAACTTTTTATAAAAAAATTTAGTATTATCAATAAGGTTTCAATATATATTTTAAATGTATAAAATAAAATATAAATTTTTTATTTAGATTTATTTTATATAATAATTCATTTATATAAAAAAAATTATTATTATCTATTAAACTGATTTAAACACACATATACTAAAACTAATTGATTTATAAAAAAAAAATTATTTTTAAAAATAAATTTACAATATAAGCTACTAGTATATAAATAAGATTTTAAATGTAATATAATGACCATATTGTATTTTATTATACAGTTTGTATTAATTATTAAATATATGTATCATATTATTATTATTATGTATTTTACTGTATATAATATTAGTAGATTTTTTTTACAACAACAAAAAAAACATTATTTATAATAAAACATTTTACATTAATACACATATTTTATAATAAGTGAAAATAGTTATAAATATTAATTTAATTTTTCAAAAAATTTTGTCCGACACCATAATAGTTTTTTTTTTGAAAAAAGTTTAATTTCATAAAATTAGATAAAAATTTATATCAAAAAAATAAAATAAAAAAAACATAAATTAATATTACATAGTCGTCCAAAAAAAACATACAGACAATGTATTTTATATATGTATTATACAGTGAACTCATCAAACAAACTAAACAAAATAATTAGAAAAATTAGAAAATAAAAAATTATTTAATTAAATAATTTTTTTTTAATTTAGATATATATGATTAACCCCCCCTACACACCCACCATACCCACACCCTAATATCTTATCAATCCTATCCAACACTTCCTATCTTCAATAAACAAAAAACAACTGTCCACCACTTGTTGTCAGTACATACGGTACAACTAGGCTTCTGTAGTACATTCAACGGCCTCCTCCTCAGTGGTGGTCGTTGTTAGCTGAGCCGACTTTAACATAAAATCTTCGACACCGACATGATTGGTGGCCAATCGTTTCAGTTCATCGATGTCTATGTGATCGTTGTCCACCTTAGCCGCTGACGACGACTTAGCCGCCGGCGGCGGTGATTTTTTTGCTTGTTTGGCCACTTTTTTGCTCTTAGCGGTAGTGGTGATGATGGTCACCGATTTAGCCTTTTTCTTTGTGGCCGCTCTTTTCGGCCGCAAGTTTGACCCGATATCTGATTTTGATTGATTGATTGATGTCCGCAAATAAGAAACAATTAGTATTTTATTTTATATATATATATTGAATATATTTGAAATTATTATAATTAAAAAATAATTTTAATATTGTTATGTATGTATGTATATAAATGTGTGTATCTATAACTTTACCGCTATTGGCCATTGTTTCGTCGATGATTACCGCCGTTATGACCAATAAAACAATTACCAATATTAATAATAATTTTAGTTTAAACATAATTTTTTTTTCAACAAAAAAATAATAAATTTTGTTGTTTGTTTGTGTGGTGTAAACAGATTTTATTTTGTTGGTATTAATATTTATTAAATGGCGATAAAATTTAGTTAAAATGATACTGTTTTTTGTTTGCTACACAATAAACAGTGTAAAAATTTTAATTAAAAATTAGGTAGTATATATATATATATATATATATATATATATRTATGTTGGGTAGTTTGGTATGGTTAATGGGTGGGTGAGTGGGTGTATGAATGTCTACATACTGTAGTAAATTTTTATTAATAGAAATTGACTATTGAAATGAACAAAAAATTACATTATATACTATCAATAGTTATCAAATAAAAAAAATAATTGGAAAAATACAACAAAATTGAATAAACAAATAAATAAATTATTTTTATTTTTTATGATAAAACAACACTTAGGTTAATGGTTAACCCTCTCTCCCCTTAACCCCGATCCCAATCCCTATCTTTCAAACAACACATATCTCCCGTATAGCTCGCGTGTATTACTCTGGAGTAGTTGTTTCGGCGGTGTCCGCATCTGCCGACTCTGTGGTTGTCGTAGTCTTAGTAGTCGTTATTGTTTTCTTTTTCGGTGTCACCGACTTTGCACTGAAATCTTCGACACCGACGTGATTGGTGGCCAATCGGTTCAGTTCTTCGATGTCTATGTTATCGTCCTCGCCTTTAGCCGCCGCCGCCGCAGCCGACGATCCTTTGGCCGCTTTTTTGCCACCGGCGGCGGCGGCGGCAGCGGAACCTCCTTTGCCCGACTTAGCAGTGGTAGTAGTGGTCACCGATTTTTCTTTTTTCTTGGCCGCCGCGGCCATTGTTTCGTCGATGATTACCGCCGTTATGACCATCAAAACAATTACCAATTTTAATAATTTTAGTTTAAACATAATTATTATTATTATTTTTTGTATAATTTTATTTTTTCCTAAATTTTTTTTTCTGTGTAAATACAGATTGTTTGCCAATAAGTTATTAAATAAATATATATATAAATATATTATTAACATTATTATTAATAAATGGCTGACAAAATAATTATGTGTTTTATTAATTAATTTTTTTAAATATTAAAATTTAAAAATATATTTTACAAACTTTGATTTATTTATTTTTCATTGACTAAAAAAATAATATAAACTATTTTTTTGTTTGTTTTTATAAATAAATTGAAATTTTTATTATTTAGAAAAAAACATTGAATTACATATATTTATTATTATTATTACATACAGTACAAATAACTTTAATTTTTTATTAATTAATTATTATTACCTAATAAAAAATAATATATTAATTAAGTAATTAAAATACAAATAATTTTATAATTAATTATATAGTATTATATAATATATAATCATTGAATTAATATTAAAGTTGATGATGTATTTTATAAATGTACTTTTTTATGATGATGATTCCCCCCCTATATTGAAAAATTTTTATTTTAAAATAAATTATTAATACAAATATATTATTTTATTAAGGGATTGGTTAGTTAGGTTAGATTAGTTGACTGAATCTACCTATTAATTTTATCTTATCCCTTAACGTTAGGAAACCCCTGAAGTATATATGATTTAAAGTATGTATAATAATATATATATATATATTAAAACAACTACCTGTATCTCCCTCAGCCGCTGTCTAATTGTATAATCAATTGTCATAATTAGTAATATACCGATTAGTAGACAAACTTGTTGTTTGGTACTAATATATTATTGGTTTGATAGTTGATGCAAATAATTTTATAAACTAAAATTGTTTATATTTATATATATTATTATATAACTTATTATACGATATATAACTTATTATATTAATATATTTTAATTTATTTTTTTGAAAAATGTAATAATTAGAAAAGTAATGGAAAATACAAATTTGAATATTATAATTTTTCTATAAATAAAAATATATGTAATATTTTGATAATTTTTTTAAAACTACAAATTAATTAATTTTTATTAAAAATTTATAACTTTCMTCTCTCTCTCTCTCTCTCTCTCTCTCTCTCTCTCTCTCTCTCTCTCTCTCTCTCTCTCTCTTAAATGTATTACTTATATAGATATTTATGACGTATCTCAAAAATTTTCTATTGAAATAAATAATTTAATTATATATATATATTTATATACATATTATAGTATTTTATTAATAAAACTAAATATTATATTTACTTTAAATTATATGTGATGTATGTACCTACGAATGATATTTAAAAAAATAATTAATTTTTTATAATTATTTATTTTTGTATAAACAGATTGTCTGTCCATTAGTTATTAATATTTTAATAATAATAAAAATTATTATTAGTATAATTTAATTATTAAATGGCGGCAAAAATTAATTTTACAATAAATAACTATCATTTTATATATTTAAAAAAACATCGCTTTAAACCAAAAAATAAAAATAAATAAAGTTTTATATCTATTTTCTTAAAATTTTATTTTTGTTTATTATTGATTTTTGCACATAAATTGCAATTTTTATTTATCATAAATTTTTGTAATTACACATATTTATTATCAATCGTACATATAATATTATATAATAATAATAATTATAATTTATACATACATTTTAATTTAATTATTTAAATTGTTATTTAGTTTTAAGTGCTTTCCGGTGTGGTTGAATTGGATGATGACCTATATTTAAAATTTTATTAGAAATATTCAAAAAAATATTAATATTTTAATAATACTAATAATAATATTTATCATACTAAAATAGATATTTATAGAAAAATTAATATATTATAACTTTCTATATTATTAACATATAATTTGATGAATTATTTGTTTAAATAATAATTTTATAATAGTAAATGCTTATTATTATTATTAAATCTTTTAGTTAAAGTATTATCAATATAATAATAATGAGACGACAAGTATATATATATATATAATAAATCTAAGTAATAAATACTAGTTAATAATAATTAACACTATTAAGTTTGATAATAATAATAATTAATAATAATAATAATAATTAGAATTAGAAATAATCATAAAATTTTTAGGTTATTATATTTTCTCATTTAAAAAATTTTAAAACAATTTATATGTAGTTTACTTTTATTTTTAAAAAAATAGAAAAATAATATTCTAACATTTTTTTAGAGAGAGAGAGAGAGAGAGAGAGAGATAAAAATTATTTTTAGACTCTGTTTTTTTTAATAGTTTTATAAAAATAAGAAAATATTAAAAATCTTTCTATTTTTACATTTATAAATTTATTTTGAAAGGGAGGGGTGGGTTGGTGTGGGAATATACATACTTTTTTAACTTTTCCTTTATCTTATCTAAACCTTTATGCCATAATTTCTTAACTTTCCCATATTTTTCAAGCATCTTATTGAACCCTTTTTTGGGAGGCGCCCCTTCTAAACAAAACAACAACAATAACAAAATAGAGTAAAATATTTAATTATTTAATTAATTTTTGTTTAATTTTTTTGAAAACAAATAAAAATATTATTATACTGTATATAATTTTTATATATATGGTAATGAATATATATATATATGATATTTATATAATATATAGTGAAAAAACGGCTATAATAATTGATAATCATCAATGAATTTATCATCATCAATTATTCTATTATATATCAAATAATAAAAAATAATTAACATTATTATTAACAACAGTCTACCTGTAGTACTTTCATCTCCCTGAGCCGATTGTATAGTCAGTATCATTATTAATGTACCGATTAGTAGACAAACTAGCAGTTTGTTTGTACAATTAGTTTGATTGGATGCCATAGTTTTTTTTCAGGTGCACACAATTGTTACCATCAATTGTCAATGTTTTTTTATAATAATTATTAGAAAAGTAATGATAAATGTTATTTATTTAAAAAAATATATGTCATATTTAGAAAATTTAATTATACAATCATTAATTAATTTTTTAAACTCTCTCTCTCTCTCTCTCTTTTACGCATTTAATTTATTACAACACATCCATTAATTAATTAAATAAATTTATATATTTTTTTTGTATATTTATCGCAACCAATGAAATATGATATGTTTATATATAAATATTTTTTTCAAAAAAAGTACTACTAAATAATTTTTAAAAAAATTATTAATATAAATTAATATAAATTAAAATGAATATTTAAAAAAATAATATATTATATATTAATTATATTTACTTTATTATTATTACTGTAACAAAACAAACAAACAAATAATTACCAACAAAAACTAAATCAAAAAATAAAATAAAAATATTATTAAAAATTTTGGACTAAAACTTTTGTATATAAAAAAAATCTAAACACATATACAAACTTCAAGTAATATTAATTTTTTAATACAATATATTTTTAAAAAAAAACACAAAAACAAAATAACAGATTATTTAACTAAATAGATAGATATCTGAGCTAAATGGGTGCCTCCTAAAAAATAGTCAGGAGGCGCTATACACATACACATTAAACCTACCCCTACCCCCGCTCCCTACCCCACCCCTATGCCGAGTGTCTATAATATTGTTTTCTGTACGCTTGCGGACTCTTTTAATATTTTATCAATTTTTTCCGGATATTTTGGCGTAATATCCGATAGTTTCATTTCGCCCACTACTTGATCGTCCGATTCGGTAGCACCACCAGCACCTCCGTCGGCGGTACTGTCACCACCAGCAGCAGCTTCGGTAGTAGTCTCGGCTTCATCGGCATCTCGTTTTAAACGATAGCCTAATAATAATAGTAAAATAATTAGTTTTTTGTTGTTGAAATAAATACTACTATAGTTATGATAAATAAATTATGATATATAGTGTATATATTTTGATTACCATAAGCACCGGTAGTAGTGATGGCCACTAGAGTTGATACAGTAATCAGTGTCAGTAAAAGTAATTTGCGTCCATTTAATAGTTGTTGGACAGTCATAATTGATTTCAAATAGACCCAGAGCCGATTTTTATATATATACAAATAAGTATATTTATACTGTATATTATGGTATAATTTATTTTTTTTAATAATGGCGTCTATTTTATAATTAAAATGTGTGTATATGTATATTTAATAAATTATAATTAAAATTTTATTATTTACTGTATTAAAAAAATAATTTCTGGGTATATTTATATATTGTATATTATTATATATCAATATATATTTTTTAAAAAAGTATAAATATAATTTATTGTTAGTTTTTATTTATATTTAAATTTATAGTTTATATATATATATCTACTAAACTAGTAAAATAAATACAATGTTTTTTTTAAAAATATTTTTGTTGTTGTCAATAAATGTTTAGATTTAAATATTTATAATGTATATGTATACTGTATTTTATATAATATATCAAATAAATTAATAAACATTATTTATTAGTTTTAAACTACAATATATATTTATATATATGATTATGTTAAGACATTAATATTTAAATTACTTTACTGTTACTAAAATAACTTTTATATTTTATAAAAAGTATTTAAGATTAAGTCAATCTATAAATATATAAGTATTTAGTAATAAAGTACAGTAAATTATAAATTTACAAACTGTAACATTATAATCATATATTAGATATTGATTTTATTTTAATTATTATATTAATATTTTCTAGTTGTATTAATCGTTATAAAATAGTATATATGAAAAATATCTAATTTCAATTAAATACTATTATAAGTTATTATACATATTATTATTATATTTTTGCTATTAATAATAAACACATATACACTGTATATAATTATTTAATTTTTTAATAAAAAGTTAATTTAATTTGATTTCATATATCATATTAGTAAACCAAACAAACAAACAAAAAAGTTAATAATATTTATCAATGAGTGTGTCTTTTAAAAACATTATTGTATATAATTTAATACATTATATAAATTTTTATAAATTATACAAATAAACACATTAGTCATATGACCCCAAAAATAAAATCATATGCCCGGAGTTGTTTCAATGGGACGGTTAGTTATTGGGATGCGATGGTGGTCTCTCTCTCTCTCTCTCTCTCTCTCCATACACCATTAAACTAGTAGTCAATTGATGTAATGAGATCCCCATCCACCCCCACCCACCTACTCATAGTCCACACACATACACACAGTTGGGTACTACCAGTCGGTGCGGTAGTCATTATGCAAGTCATATCTCTGTAGATGTATATATTACTGTATATCAATAGTATAGTCACCATCGCTGGTCCAACTATTGAGAATAGTGGGGAAAGTTGATACACAAACGGAAGCATCTGCTCTCTCTCTCTCTCTCTCTCTCTCTCTCTCTCTCTCTCTTTGTCTCTCATGATAAGTGGATGGACACCGATATCACATACCCGGCCGCCTCTCTCTCTTTTTCTCTCTCTCAAGAGAGAGAGAGAGAGAGAGAGAGTTTTGTGTGACATTTGTCGCAAAATTCAAATTATTATTACAATTTGAAATTAGCCGTAACTGTGTGTTTATAATTTGTCTTTGTCTTTATACAGTGTATCCATATATATATATATTAACTATCATATATTATGGTCCAGTTCCTCTGTCTATAATATCTACCCTACCAGTGCCTTCCCTTAGTTACACAAAAACTACTACAATATAACTTTTGCCTTAAACTAAATGCTAGGACACCGTTAGGATTATATGACAAATCAGTTTTTATAAATATTTTTTTTTGTTTATTTTTTGGTAACATTTTTTTTGTACTGTATTTTAGGTATAATCACCAAAAAAAATTTAATTATCATAAATAAATAAATATCAATTGATTTTTTTCAACTAAAAAAAATATCTGAAAAAATTGTCTAAACATTTGTCTCTACATTATATATATATATATATATATATAATATGATATTTATGGTGTCAGACCTCACAAACTGTTTTAGTTATGAATGACTGTCCACTTCATGTGTGTGTGTGTGTGTGTGTGTCTGTCCTTCTGTTACGGTATACCCAAACACTACTGTACTGTATATCTAACTAATCGACTAATTATTTGCTATTTTTGTTATTTGTAATACAAAACTTTTGTACAAAAATAAATGACAAATCTTTTGTGTGTGTGTGTGTGTGTGTGTGTGTGTGTGTGTGTGTGTGTGTGTGTGTGTGTGTGTGTTAGTCCTCTATACAAACTGTCCCATCAATTTGCAACCTAACTGTCCTCTCACTACAAAAAAATTATCAATGAGTTTGTACAGTAAGTAATGTTTCAGTTAATGTTTGTGTGGTCTCTACTACTACTACTACTAACTGCTTACTAATTGGTGGTTATTGTAATGAGAAAAATATTTTTTTTTTAAATGTTTCATCAATTATACAGCAATTTATTTTATATTTTTCGGGCGATAAGGGAATAGAGTCTACAAATTAATCACTAAAAAACAATATCCAAACCAAATATATTTATTGTTAATATCAATAATAATATCTTATTTTTAAAAAAACTTAATATGATATTAAATTGACTAATATTTTGTTAAAACACATTTCAAACTACTTTAAACACACGGTTTAATGGGATATTTTTTTGTGGATAAATAACTATATATTTTATATAACAACAACAATAAACCAAAACCAAGTTTTAGACTTTAGTTTAGAGTCTTCAAGTGATATTTTAATACAAAATTAAAAAGTCTACTTTTTTTAAAAAAAGAAAAATTGTTTACAAACTTTAACTAATTAGAGAAACACCCAAAATATGTCAAAATGTAATAATTATCTGACACACACACACACACACAAACACACAAACATACAAACACACACACACACACACACACACACACACACACACACAYACATACTATGGCTTAGAGTCTAACATTTCATTGATCAATAATAATATCAATAATTTGTAAAACAAAAAATGTGATATTTTTCACATTTTTTTGTTGATCTCTTTCTCTCTCTCTTTCTCTCTCTCTCTCTCTCTCTCTCTCTCTCGAATTGACTGATGTTTTTAAGTTTTGACAAATGTATAAATGATTTGTTATTTTACAAATCAATCGTAACCAACTATTTTTTGTTGTCAACCATATAAGTAGATATAAGTTGACAGTGTATGTGTGTGTGTGTGTCCTAAAGTACTTTATAATTATTGCAATGTATAGCCAAAAGAGTAATTACTGTACCAACAGATTATTAGTATAATAAAAATTTGTGTAAATTTCACAGACATTTTCCCATTTCCTATTACATCCGTATATTTATATATAGTATTTCCCCATCATTTAGCATACATAGCATATAAATTTAGTAAATTTAAACTATTTAGTAGTATATGCCATATACAGCATATACAGTGTGAGATAGGATAAGCCAAATAATAATAATAATAATAATAATATAACTGTAATAATGTGCACGAAATACTAGATTTGCTTTCAATCATTGTTTTAATTGCTCTCTCTCTCTCTCTCTCTCTCTCTCTCTTCCCAAAAGTTTTAACAGTAATATTACATTATATACATATATATACAATGTGTATATATATAAATTTATATATATCGTATTACAAGTATACTACTAATTTGTTTTTGCAATAATTAGCAATAATAATAAATGCAACTAAATATATAAGTTATATATATATTTTTAAATATATCATATATGATTAGAATAATATAAATGATTGTTTTATATAATGTTTGATGTAAAACATTAGTAGTCATACTCTATTATATTATCTATAAAATATTTAAATTTAAATTTAAATATATGAATTTTTCTTATATTATAATAGAAATACATTCAATTGCTTTTTGCATATGATTTTTGTTTGTCAATTGATGTGCACATTCATAGACAGTACTAGTACACACACACACACACACACACACACACACACACACATATATATATCATATATATAGGTTTAGTCATATAAAAAAATTGTTTAACAATAAAAATAATTTCAATTAGGGGTCTCTCTCTCTCTCTCTCTCTCTCTCTCTCTCTCTCTCTCTCTCTCACTCACTCACTCACTCACTCACTACTAATACTGAAAAAACACATTTAATGCATTTGCTTAATAACATAAATACATGTATGAATAGACTAGTATTGAATATACAGAATATATTCTCTCTCTATATGTGTATGTATTCAAACTATTAATTACAACTATAACAGTGTGTGTGTTTGTGTGTGCCATAAATGCATTAACTTTTCTATATATATGTATTGAATTATATGATACATAAAAATATCATTTGACTTGACTATTGTGTATAATTCACACATATATACACGAAAAACATTGATATAATGCATTTTCAACAACATTAGTGTCACAATCACACACTACTACTACTATATAATATTAATAAAAACTTGTTATTTGAATAACACTCTAAACATAACCTACATTACTGTATGTTGAGAGTACAGTATATATATATATTCATATTAAACATCAATAATAATTGTTATTATTATTACTATTAAGAATCTATTTTATATACAGTTGTTATATATATGTACATCAAATGTCTAATAATAATAACTTCCTGACTATGTCCCTGTCCATGTCTAACCTACCCTTTCCGAGACACACACACGTGTGCCGGTTGGATGGTTGGGGTGGGGGTGAATGAGTGCGTTATGCACTTAACCATTAGATACATATGTATTATTATTAGTTTGGGAATAGATTACTTTTTTTTTGTTTAACCAAAATATATATATATATTGAAAACTTATTAAATTGTTTATAATATAAACTTTAAATATAAATATAATATATTATATAAAACTATAATATAGTATATATAAGTTTTAAGTCCCTTTAAACGCTATTATTAGATAAAATAAAATAACTATTAATTGAATAAATATTGTTTTATAAATAAAATGTTACAGTTTTTAAAATAAATTTATTATATTGTTATATATTAAATATATATTTGAGTATATATATGGTATATATGTATATATATTTTTAAATTATTGTTATAATAAAACTATTAAAACTATTTGATATTATTTTATTAAAATAAATCTATTTTAGTTGAATTTATATTTATATAAATTTATTTAAACTAATTTATTACAGTATCAAATGTAAGTTTTAATAGTAATTGAAAATTATCTTGGTCAAATAATAATAATAAATTAGTTTTAAGTTATATTTTAATTGTTAAATTCAATTAATAAATTAACTAGAACAAATAAAATTTATTTAATATTATTGTTTTTTTTTATTTTTTAAAAAACATTAAAATGTATCCTGGTTAAAACTTTGTATTTTGATTTGTAAAATATTTTTTTATTAAATATTAAAATTTTTAGTCCCCGAGAGCGCCATCTTTTCGAAAATTAAAAAAAAATAATATTTTTGTGTTCGAATAGAACAAACAAATCAACAACAACAAAATTTAAAAAAAATTACTCCCCTTTTTGGGTCATACAAATCAAACGTTACGTTTATTAATTCCCTTTAAAAAAAATATTAATATAAAAATTTTTAATTATTGTACACTGTACCTATATATAGTATTAATAAATATATAAACTAGTTACATTATCTACAACAACAACAAAATTCGAACAAAATGTAACGTTGTTTGTGAACCGTTTTGGTTTCAATTAGTATTATTATTATTAGTAATGTTTACGCCATTTACAGACAGTGTATGTAATAATACTGTATTAAAAAATATATATGATATGAATGAAACATTTCTATAGAATTATTAATTAATTATTAGTTAATTAAGTCAATGAATACATAATTGTTTGGAACACTAATTGTCGGGTCAAACGGTCAACACTAACAAACATACTATTGATTATAGCATTTGATATAACAGTTCTATTAATTACTACTAAATAATATATAATAATAATAAATACCGTATTTTCAACAATCAATATGTCATTACTGTATTCAAGTCAAGCAGTGTTAGCATCGGTAACACTATTCTCACTAATATGTGTCGGACTATACTATATGCTGACCGGTCGGGGCCGGCGTTTCGGTGATATTGCTTGGCTTCTTGAAGGTAAGTCAACTGACCAAACTGTTGTCCACTGTCTGTCCACCGCAACTCCCGAACCCTTACTATCTCTCTGTCTGTCTGTCTCTTTCTCTCTCTTTCTTTCTCTCTCACTGTCTGTCTGTCTCTCTCTTTCTCTCTCTCTTTCTCTCTCTCTCTCTGTCTTTCTCTCTCTCTTTCTCTCTCTCTCTGTCTCTCTCTGTCTCTCTCTGTCTCTCTCTGTCTCTCTCTGTCTCTCTCTCTGTCTCTCTCTCTGTCTCTCTCTCTGTCTCTCTCTCTGTCTTTCTCTCTCTGTCTCTCTCTGTCTCTCTCTGTCTCTCTCTCTCTATCTCTCTCTGTCTGTCTGTCTCTCTCTCTCTGTCTCTCTGTCTGTCTGTCTGTCTGTCTCTCTCTCTGTCTGTCTGTCTGTCTCTCTCTTTCTCTCTCTCTCTGTCTCTCTCTGTCTTTCTCTCTCTCTCTCTCTCTGTCTCTCTGTCTCTCTATCTCTCTCTGTCTCTCTCTGTCTCTGTCTCTCTCTCTATCTCTCTGTCTCTCTCTCTCTATCTCTCTCTGTCTCTCTCTGTCTCTGTCTCTCTCTCTCTCTCTATCTCTCTGTCTCTCTCTCTCTATCTCTCTCTGTCTCTCTCTGTCTCTGTCTCTCTCTCTATCTCTCTGTCTCTCTCTATCTATCTATCCCTTCCGTCACCTGTTTTATCCGCCACTTAATTAACCGTATATTTTCCGACAAACCTATAGGTATATCGCCGTATATGTGGTGTTCACTTGGTATCGGTCTATCCATATCCCTATCAGTAGTCGGCGCAGCCGTCGGTATACTAACAACTGGCGTATCGATAGTCGGCGGCGGTGTTAAAGCTCCGCGAATTCGTACGAAAAACTTGGTCTCAATTATCTTTTGCGAAGCCGTAGCCATCTATGGTATAATCATTGCCATTGTTATGCTAAACGGTATCAATGAATACGATCCGACAAAGTTTGAGACCAATCTGAAAGAAAAAGCGGCCAATTATTATTCGGGTTATATTATGTTTGGCGCCGGTCTGACCGTCGGTTTTGGCAATCTATTCTGCGGACTGGCTGTAGGCGTAGTCGGATCGGGTGCCGCACTGGCCGATGCCGCCAATCCGGCACTGTTTGTCAAGATATTGATTGTCGAAATATTTGCTTCGGCTATCGGCCTGTTCGGACTGATTGTGGCCGTCATATTGAACGCCAGAGTCAATATGGGCACTAAGGATCACTGAGTTGGACGGCGGACAATGTGTGGCCAAAACGTATGGACAGACAGACAGACACACATAGAGAAGCCTATTATCATTCTAGTAGAAGACCTAACCATTCCTTCTTCAAACACATACATAATCATTGTTATTATTTTATTGATATTATTATTATTATGTCATCGACGGTAAACATAACTATTTCCCGATGACTAGACATTTGCTAATCATTATTATTGCTATTAATATAATATATTAAAAAAGAGATATATATATAAAAAAATCAATGTTTTTAATTGTGTTTTACAAAAATAACTATACAATTGAATTGGATATGTATTTAAATTTTAGTTAATTATTATTAGTATTAGTGGTATTTTTTTAAAGATTTAAAAAATTATATTTATTATAATTAAATTAAATTTGTTATTTTTTGTGTGAATTGAATGTATTTAATTAATTATTATTATTGTATATTTAATCGGAAACAAATTGTACTTTAATTATGAGATTATTATTAATATTATATCATTATAATTATAAATAATTTGATGATATATTTAATATGATTGTACAGTAAATATATAAAACTAGAAAATTAATTAATTTAAAATAAATTAAACAAATATGATTTAATTTTAATAATTTTTATTTATTAATAGTAATAATAATAATAATAATTGTTATTATTATCATAATTATAATACAGCAGTTACTTTACAAATAAAATTTCACATCATATTTAATAATAATAATAATAGTAATAATAATCTATATATAAGTTATTTAATACAATAATTTGTTTGTTTAATAAATTTAAATTTTTTTTTATACAAAGAGAGATAAAACAATTACAATTAAAAATAATTACTATAAAATATTTATACAATCAATAATAATAATAATAATAGCATTATAGTATAGTGGAAAATAATATTTATAATAATAATATTGATGATGATGATAATAAATAATTAATTAATTAAATTGAAATAAAAATCAAATAATTACCTATTTGATTTTTAATTGAGCAAATAGTGTGTGTGTGTGTGTAAAGTGTTTATAATTAATTTTGTTTTTATCAATCAAAAATAAACACCTCATTAAATACAATATACATTAATACATATATATATTTATATATATATTTAATTAATATATAATAAATATATTTATAAATGCAATTATAAACAATAACAACAAAAAATTGTTTACTGAATTAGTAAATATCAATACATATATTTGGAGAGAGAGAAAAAAATTGGTTACAAATAAAAAAAAAACAAAAATTGTTTTTTTCAAAATTTAAATTACATGTATTCCCGGCTCGACCCCCTCCCCCCCGTCCCCCACTTTATAGATATTCTAAAACATAGATTTAGCAATTTATCAATTTATTTTCTGTATGTACAGCTTTATTATAATTATTGTAAAAAAAATTTTTTTTAGTTACTATTTTATTAGTTGCTATTTTTAAATAATTTGCTAATTGATGTAATAATATTTTATTTAATGAATCTATTTTTTTTTAATATCAATATTATCAATGATGTTCAACTAATTACTACATATAATGTATGTGTATGTATGTAATGATATTATAATTATTTTTTAAAAATTTAATTTCATTAGTCTAATAACCTTTTTTTTGATTTTATATACATTGTATATAAAAAAAAAGTTTTAAGATATTACAGTATTAATATTATTATTATTAGCAAAAATTTATTTAAAAATAGATTTTTTTACAATTAATTTATCTATTATCTCTCTTTCTCTCTAATTATCTATAAATTATTATTTTTATTTTATTTTATTATCATATTATTTATAAATAATTTATAATTATTTATTTTTCCCTGATGCAAAATTTATTGATTATGATGAGATAATAATATTTGTCAATATATATTTATATTTATATATTGTATATAAAGCATTGTTTTTTGTAATTTTCATTTATTGAAAAACTAAAAAATATGTTTTATGAATATCATATGCATCTATAAATTTCTCAATTAATTTCTAGCCTTTATTTTTATACAAACAATTTTTTTTGTTATAAAAAAATAATATGAAAAAAAAAACTAAATTAATAAATTAATATAACAAAATAAATAATAATATCAATATTATAATATTTAATAATAATAATAATATATACAAAATATTCATCATAAATATATATATTTTACAGCAATTAATAATATCAATTGTACTATACATTAGATATAATTTTTTTTTTAAAAAAAACCTGTATAAGCATATTAAGCCCGGACTGGTTACCCCCAACATACCGTTCCCCTTTACATTTAACTAAAGGGAAAAACATCAATGAAAGGGGTGTAGTGTCCGGGATATATACCCATAGTTTTTCAATACCTAATGATAAATTGTGTGCGTTTTTATCGTCAAAATATCAACTGATTTCATAAATATATATTATATAATAATTAATGATTTTTTTCATACATTAATAATAATAATAATATCATCAATAGTTCGTACAATGATTACAAACAAACAAATAAACAGAAAATAAAACACAAAAACCAATTTTTAAGGAAAAATTTTAAAACAATTAAAAAAGAGATAATAAAAACAGATTTTTTTATGAACTAAAAATTAATTACCAATTTATAATAACACTAATAATTAAAAAAAAAAATTTGAAATGAGAAATATTTATAATATAAAAAAACAATTAGTATAATAATATTTTAATACAGAATATTCTGGTCTAAAATCTATAACAATTCAACAATAATTGGGGAAAATATTAGTTTTGTATTTTGTCTACAAATAATCTAAAAATAAAGCAATTATTTTAATAGTAAAAATTTATAAAATTAATAAACACTCAGAAGTTTTTTAATTTATTTAATTAAATTGTCAACTTTTATTGAATTTTATAATTATATATTTGCAAAATAATTTTGTTTAAATTTAATATTTAAAAAAAAAATAATAATAAGAAATAGTGTTTTGATAAATAAAAAATAAAACAAAAAATAAAACGAAACAAAAATATTATTATCACTAATGAAATAAAAATATTGTTAAATGTTTTTTTCAAACCAGAATTTTTTTCTGTAATAAAATAATATTATTATAAATTTAAATATATATATAGATATATAAAAGCAATCGGTGTTTAGAAAAATACTAATTAATAAAATTCAAGTAAAACAGACAAATCATAATAATAATAATATTAATTAATAAAAAAATTAAAACATTTTTTCAATTTTACACAATTACATACTTTATAATAATAATAATTAAATATTTACATATGAATTACATAATTTATAATTATATATATATATATATACTCTCGATTTTTTTTGAAATTATTTTCAATTTATGATTGATTTAAATGTAATGTTATGTAATATGTTTTACTACTCATATATTTATGTTTGAAAATAATGTACAATCAATTAATTATTTTTATATAGCAAAAACATGACCGAGAGTATTTTTTGTAATATATATATATATGTTGTTATCATCAAAACAAAAATTATTATTAAAACAAAAAAAACAATATATTTATATATTTATAATATATGTCCAAATATTATCTCTCTTTTTTATCTTAATCATCAATAATTAATAATAATTATATTTATAATATTTATAGTATTTATAATGACTTCGAGATCACTATATATTTGTATGAAATTTAATTATTTCTCAAAAAAAGTTATTATTATTATTATTATTAAAAACAAAATATTTTTTTATCAATTTATCCACAAAAGAAATTTTTTTTCATCAAATATTATTATTTTAACATAAAATATAGAGAACAACGGTTTATATATATATATATTTTAATATTTATATTTTTTAAATTTATAATCAATAATAATAATAATATAATAGTTTTTCAATTTATCTCTCATATATATCCAATTATAATAATAATAATCAATATGTTTACAGACCATTTAATAGGTAATAATCAATAATATTAATAATAATAATTATTAAACAATAACATTATATATTTTTTAGGTCTCTTTTTTCAATGATTTTTTTTATGTCAAATATTAAACGCCAATTAAAACCTCAATTATACAACATATACTGTTTATATACATATATATGTATGTGTGTATCTATGTATGTATTTGTGTATGTTTTACAATATTTATAATCAAAAAATTGTTTTAAAAAAATCAAATTATATATATATATATATCAAATTGTCAATTAGATAACATGGGTTGGGAGGGGGATAGATGTCATTGATTTATAATTATTTTATAATATTTCATAAGCCAGTGTTCAATGACATTTAAATTGACAACAAATATATATATATATATATATAAACTAAAGATATCATTTCAATTATTATTGGTTTTAAAATTTATCATTTTATAGGGATTTAATTAAAAAATTAATTTTTAATTAGTTTTTTGAAATAAAAATGAATGATATCTTTAGTTTTTTTATATATATAAATGGTTTGATGAATGAATGATATTAATGAATGATGTAATGATGATGTGTTGGGTGTGTATGGTATGGTATGGTATGGTTTGGTATGTAATGGTGATATGATTCCCGGTTGTGTAGTAATAGTAGGTATAGCTTTAATGATCGCACGCTTTATATAATCCCTGTCCTTTTTCTGTTTTGTTTTACTAATCAATTATTACCAATTAATTAGTTAATGGCAGTGCACTGTATTTATGTGTGTTTAGTGTGTATATATCCCGTTCCTTATCAAAGATAGGTACTCTGTCAGGTGGTTATTGTCATAATCATAGTCATTGTCATCAATAATCTGGTCAGTCAGTCATATATTTTGTTGTTGTTGTTGTTGTCGTCGTTAGTGTCTTAAACGGTTGCAATCACTACCAATAGATGTGATATTTCTTGAAGACTGTGCAATAGGTCAGGCGCTATGCGCACCAGGTTTTCATGCGAGAACTCGCACGTCGGGAATATATGGACCACATAGGCCGGCTATATTATATCGGGTGCAAAACAAACAAACAAACAATATATTAGTTTATGTGGAAATCAATGATAAAAAATTATAATTGATGTGCCCATCCATACCTGTTGAGTTCCCGGTGCGTTCATGTTGACAATACCGGCCGCCTGTTTGCTTTGCAAATAGGTTATGAAACCAGTCTTCAAATTGTTGGACTGCTGGAGTACGTCCATATGATCGCGACCGCACGGTAGGGCCAGTAGTATACAGTGTTCGTCGATAGACTAAATTATAAATATATAATTAATTACAACATCGATCAGGACAGGGATCAATCAATTAATCGTTAACCGACTGATTCACTTGACAACACATACCTGTATCTTTCGGGCCAATCCTTGCAGTTGTTGCGGCTCTAAGCGCATACGTTGGGCTATTCTCAACGGTGATACGCCTCCCTCGGTAAACGGTGGCAACGAGTCGCGTGCGATACGGGCATTGCCCGACACGTAGTGCATCTGGACGGCTGCCTGGTCGTTTTTCAGGGCAAACAATCCCTGCCACATAACCGGATAGCGCTGGAGTAGGGCGTCGCCGTGTTGTGGCACTTGGCTGGCGTGTTGGGGACCGGCCAGTGCCATGGACTGGTGATGCGGTCCTTGTTGCTGGGAAACGGCATGCGCTGGTGGCGGTGGTCCGTGAATGGGCGGTTCGGAACCCATTTGCGGTGTCGGATGCATAGTACTCGATCGACGCATCAGACCCTCCTGTTGGCTCAGTTGTTGGTTGTGGAGCTGCTGTTGCTGCTGCTGTAGTTGCTGCTGAAGGGTGTGTTGGTTCTGCATATTCAATGCCAACGGACCGGGCGATTGGCCCGACATCTCTTTCTGTTGAGGATATTGTTGTGCCATCATTTGCTTTTTAAGTGCCTCCACGTCGTTTGGTGGCGGCATCGGTGATCGTGTTGTTTCTTTACGATAGGACAGTGCACCCGGCGAATGAGCGGGCGGTTGCATCGAGTACTGCGGCAATGGCGATGTCAATTGGTGTCGTTGGTTCATTGCGTTCAGTTCGGCCGCCGACGCCGCCTGATATTTTCGGCTATCGTCCAGCTTGACTACTGGCGACCGGCGCATCAGTTCCTGTTGTTTCAGTTCTTCGGCTCTTTGCTGCAGCTGTTGGTGTGGCTGCATCTGTGACGGCCGTCCCTGTACAGCGCCGTAGCCGTGAACAATGGCCGGACTATCCGTATAGCGTTCGTGCGGCGACAGCATATGCGGAGCAAACTGCCGAATACCTGGCGGTGGATATGCCATACCCGGCGGTATGCGCAACGGTGTCAACGGCGGCGGCGGTTGCATTGCCGACAACAGTCGTTCGTGTGTACTCTCGGCCTGACGCTTGATCTCGGCCTCGGCCTGTCGTTGCAGTGCCGCCTTATAGTCCTGTTCGTCTTGTTCCCGAGCAGACAATCGTCCGACCGATTCGCGGCCCGATTCTTTAGCCTGTTTGTTGGCCTTATCGCGCAACACACGTTCCCGTTCCTCCTGATCGCGGCGTTCGCGTTCTTTCAATTCGTGAGCGACCACTTTCGAGTCGGGTACCAGCGGCATCTGAAAGTTGCCGGGCGGATAGACAAATCGGGGCGATATGTTCATAGCGGCCGCTGCCCGAATCTGAGCCTCCTGTCGGGCCCGGATATCGTTGGGCAGACCGCTGTACGGATTCATCATTTGCATCATCTGCTGGCGAACCAAATCGTTGGCCATCATTGCCTGCAAATCGTTCGGATGGATGCCTACGGCTAACGGATTGATACCCATCATTGCCGCTGCTGCAGCCGAATGACTGGGCGGTCGTAACAGTCCGGCCATATGCGGCGGTAGAGCCGATTGTGGGTCAGGTGTAGCCGACTGCTGTTGGCCAGGACCACTGCGATTTCCGTCGTGATGGCCGCCAGTCGCCGGTGTCATTGACCGTTCCCGCGACGACTGTTGTTGCTGTTGTTGATGTTCTCTCAGTGCTTTCTCCTGTTCTCTTAGCTGTTCCCTTTGGACCCGTTCGAGGAACTCCTTCTGGTGTTCTCGGGGTATGTGGTGTTGATTTTGTAGCAACTCTTCGATAACACCGCGATTGGCTGCCGCCTGCAAGTGGACACTGGCCTCGTGAGCCGGTGCCGGATAACCGGCAACCTGTACGCCGGCATATTTGTCGACAACGACTCGCGACGATGTTTTGCCGCCAATAGAGTCGCGTCGCGATGACGATGAAGACTCGTGTTTCAGATGTACTGGCGGTGACATTAGCGACGACTCGATAGCCATCGATGTATGACTTGTGACAACACTGGTCGGCATTGATGGTGCCGGTGGTTTGGGCTCCAGTGTTAGCTTCGAGTGAGCCGGAGGTGGTTGTGGTGTCGGCTGTGTTGAGATCAACTGTTTGCCGGAATCGTGGTATGACGTGATGGACGGTCTGTGATGTTGAGTGACCGGTGGTGTTGTAAATATTTGTCTCTGTTGTTGTTGTTGTGCTAGAGCTGACTGTGTTGTGTGAACCGACAAATTTTGCGGCCATTGACCCGGCATTGGCTGAGCAATTGGCACCAGTGGCTGACCGACTGGTGGCGGATATTTCGGTGTTATAGTTATAGGTTGCGAATGTGGCGGTAGAGTAGCCGCCGATGTTATGGCTGGTGTCATTTGAATGCCAGATTCGGTGATTACCGGCGATTTGGTGGCCATAGTAGATGTAAATGCCGGTGTAGTCGGCGTTATCGGTACAATAGTGGATACCGATGGACTGGTTGTCGCACTGGTAATAACTGCTTGTTTGTCAATATCGGGCAAATTAAATGGTTTTCCAGTCTTCAGTTTGACGGCAGTTGTCGAGCCGTGAATGCGCTCCGATATGTTCGGTATGTCCTGAATGTTGGTACTGGTAATTACCGACGGTATGGGTGCAATCGGTGCTGTTATAACACTCGTAGCGCTTGTATTAGTGGCGGTGGTGGTGTTGACCAACGATGATATCGCTGATCCAGCGATAACGGTTGCCGGAGTGACAACAGCGGCACTGGTATGTTGCGATTTGCACGCCTGTATGACAGCCGTGTGTTCGAAGGCTTTCTTTTGGTGACCTACCGGTTCCAATAGACCGGTAACGGGATCAATGAGTACTGCAGGACTGGCTCCGCGCGAGTCGTCCGCATCGATGGTAGTAACGCTGCCGGTTGTAGTGGTATTAGTTTCGACCAACTCTTTGGCCATAACCGGCTTCACCGCTAAGTCCGATGGTTTTACTAGACTATCGACACCACCAGCACTAGTAGCGCACAGCACACTATCGTCGATAGCTTTCTTTTTCTGGTCAACAGTGGTCTTGTTGTTATTGTTGTTGACTGTGGTAACAGTGGTAGCGGCAACCGATGTTGCAATCTTTGGTAGTTCCACTTTGAGCACCGGTACGGTAGCCGAGCCTTGTGGTGGTAATCGGCGATGCACTGGTAGGACTGTTGTAGTTTGCGACTCAGGTATAATAGCCGTAGTTTCACCACTACTACTACTACTACTACTAAGAGTGATGGTCGATGTAGAGTTAGTAGTGATAATGTTGTTGTTGTTGTTAGAGGTAGTGGTGTTGGTGCTGGCCGTCGGTTGGGCCGTATGGTCATTGCTGTTGCCGTCGGACTCGGCCGTTATGGAGCCCCGGGTCGATGAACGTGTTATTCGGTAGGAGCGCAACACATTTTTATTATCTAATTATTATTATTGAATAAAATAAATTAAAACAAATATAAATTTATTAATAATAATAATTTGATAATCAATTTTTAACATTTATTAACAAAATGTGTTTTTTTATATAAAAAAAATAATTATTAATAACTTATAAAATACATGTTATAATAACTATTAATAAATAAAATTAATTATTAGCGAAATTCAATACTTACTAACTTTACACACATACAGCACACATACATAATAAAAATCAAATTAATAAATATATATATAATTTAATTGAAAACTTTCCATCAAATTAAATATATATATATTTATAAATATATGTATATATGTTTACCATTGAAAAATTCAAACATAGAAAAAAAACTAGTTTTAAAATTTATAAAATTATATATATATTTATATTTATAATTATAATTATCTACTGATAATAGAGGCTATTATCGATTTAATAATATGATATATAAATAATATATATATATATATATATTATAATATTTCCTAAGCTATTAAATGTTGTTATGTCTCATGTTTTCGCACCACTGATAACACAATTTTTTTTAAAAAATACTTATTAAGTAAAAAATAATAATAAATAAAATAAATTTCATTTTGCTATTTAATCAAATCGATAATAATACTAATAATAACTATTATAATAGACTAGTACATATAATGTATTTATAAATTATTTTATTTTTTAGTTTTCAATGTATCACCACATATCATCAGCACATTTATCATTAATAATAATAATAATAATAATATTGATACTACATTGTGCATACATAAGCTAATAAACTAGACATACCTATAAACCAGACACTATTATATATATATATATATATATATATGTGTGTGTGTGCACACAATTATTATTAAAAAATAAATATAAAACAAATAAAATAATAATTATTAATTATTTTTTAGGTTTTTGTATTGTTATGTTATGTTAGTACCGTATATATATAAAAAAAATTAATTATTGTACTTAACTGCATATGTATATAAATTTTTATATAATTATTTTTTTAAGGAAAAATTATATACTATTAATACTATATCAGCTAAAAATAAACACAATATATATTTATACACCACTTGTGTGATATAACTTTATATAAAAATTTTATACAATTAGCAACACTAACCTCGCACACACACACACACACACACACACACACACACACACACACACACACACACACACACACACACACACACACACACATAGACACACATACATACACACATACATACATACACATATACACACACATACATACATACACAAAAATGTACTGTAAATATTTGATTATACAATCATAAAATAAATAAAATATATTATAAAATTATATCTAATAAAATAACAAAAAATTAACTAATCATTCATTCACTTTTTATAGCACTTATATAATAAATTTAATAAACAAATATATATATATATATACTGTATATACTATTTGTACTAAACTAATTAATTACACAATTATATTGAAATTAATTGCAATAAAAAACAAATAAAAAATTTCAATACAACTTTCATTTGATCCATAAAAAAAATTTTTAATAAAAAATAATTGAAAAAATCTTATCGATATATCCAATAGAAATATAATAGATATTATTATTATTATTATTAAAACAACAATACATACCGTCGTTATGGTCGTCACCGACACCCAAGTCGACCACCAATTCTTCACTTTTGCGCGACGATCGGGTAATACGTTTCGATGACTTACCACCACTACTACTACTACCACCACTATTGATGTCATCTTTATTATGATGACCTTTGATAACATCTTCGATAGTCTCGTCAATGGTAGTAGCCTTCAGGTCTTGACTCTTGGCCAGACGGGCCGATTTGCGTACGGCTTTACTCTGCTGGCCGCTAGTGTCTGTTGAGGAGGCGGCTGCGGCGGTACCAATAGCTCCAGTAGTCATTTCCGCTGATCCGCCAACTTTGATCGCCGCTGTCGGCAACGACGACGACGATTGAATCGTCTTAATGTTGGTCTCAGACGAGTGGTCGGGCTCGGCGTGTAATGCTTTGGACGTCTTAACCACTTCGGCACCCGAGTCTTGGCCGTCCTTCGAGTGCAATCGTATAGTAATTGACAGCTTTCCGTGTTGTGATACTTCGCTGACGTACTCTTTGCTTGCAATTTGTTGGTCAGCCGCCGAGTGAGCCGACGATGACGCCGACGACACTAATGGATGGCTGCTGTGATGACTGTCCGACACTGATGACATGGGAGGCGTCGGTTCGTCAATAACCAGATGTTTCTTACCGGTTGTGATGGTTCCGGCTGTGGCAACAGTGGTCATAATAATCGGCTCGTGAGCCGTTATCGTCGCAGGCGTATCGGTAACCACCGAATGGACACCAATCGTTGACGACGACACTGATTGAGTGCTACTGCTCTTTGAGTGGTCAGAGCTGCTTCCGCTGCTCTTCGAGTGTATGGATTCGAGTTGCAGTTGTGTCGGTGTGTCCTCTTCGTCAGAATCATGAAAGTCGTAGACATCGTACGACATCTTCGCTTTGCGTTCGGTCTGACTCTTGTCCGATGACAACGACGACAACGGCGGCGGCACCGGTAGAGACAATACTATACGTTCTTTCTTTTGCGGTTCAATAATGTCCGCCGATTTGATTGTCGACATCGTCGGTGTCGGCAACAGTTCAGTGGTCGACACTTTCTTTTTGCGGCCTCTTTTGCCAACTCGTTTGACACCTTCTTCATGAACAGGTGTTTCGTCAATCTTGAGACTGTGGTCTGTATCTGATAACTCGTTGCTGTCATTTTGTTGATCGTCGGGTGTAGTCTCGACAGCTCCCGTACGGCCACTGCGACGCAACGATCGTTGCGGCAATGGTTCGACAACTGCTTGTTTGGCACCTCTTTTCGGTGGAGTAGTAGTCAGTATCTGTGGCGGTAATGGCGGCGGCAATGGTGTCAACGTTGGTGTTGTCGTCGATAATGATGGTGTGGTAGTTGACATTGTTGTCATAGTAGTCAACAACGGTTGTGCGCCGCCAGCAGCACCCGCCAGACATCCCGTCTCATATCGAGGCAATTGTAGCGACGATTCCGAATACTTGCGAGTCTTGGCTCTGCGGCCACGTCTCGGCCGTTCGCAGGTCTTCTTGTCGTCCGTTTCGCTTTCGTCACGACTTTCTTCGGCTTTCGACTCGTGATGGGCGACATCGCGACTGGCCATCAATTTAGCGTCGGTAGTAATGACCGCCGCAATCGCTTGTTGTTGTTGTTGTTGCGGCAGTTCGCTAACTTTGTTGACCACCGCTGTTTCTCTGTGATGTACAACATCACGATGTTGTTGTTGTTGTTTTGGATCAAATTCAATATCTTTTTCGAAAACCTCAGTCTTGTCGGACACACGGGTAGTGTCGCGTAAGTCGGAACCGACAAACGGTTGTTGTTGTTCGGCAATTACCAGTCGTGGCGACAATAGTCGCGGCACTTCAGCTGTTCTATTGTCGACTGGTTTTGTTAGATGCTCTTCGGTGTGTATCGTCGTTGTCGACTTTATCGGTTTTTGATCCAATTTGTCGACAATACCGCTAACATTACTACCGGTACTGACGTGTAAGTCATGCAAAGATGACTTGTTGTCCAAATCTTGTTTAATAACAATACTGTTGTCGACTACAACTAATTTATTAATACGTTGTTCAGCCATTTGTGGCTCAGACTTGACCGTCGGAACGGCGCAAACATTGCCGCCGAAGACAACTGGTTTCTGATCTTTCGGTAAGTTAATAATCTCTGGCGACTTGACGACATTGTGCTGTCGTTCGACAACAACAGCAGCCGCCGGCGCTGCCGGAAGCGCAACGTCATCGACAACAACAGGTATTGGTTTTGTTGTTGCTATAGTCGGAATTGTTGTCTTAGTTGGTGTTGGTGTTGTTGATTGTGTTAAACGCAATGCAGTCGACCATTCATTGGCGACATCTTTCTTGTTGTCGATCATTGGCGTCGTAGACACCGGAGTTGGCAACGGTAGCTGTGGTGGTGGTGTTGGTAGTGGTAGTGGCGCAACACTAATCTCACGTTTCGGTTCAATTACCACCAGATGTTGATGATCGGTCTTAATCGATGGTCGCAACTCATCGGCAGATATTTCCGACTTTATGTGCGTCGACGGCATCGGCGGCGAACACTTGTCAGCAGCACTGATACCAAAGTCATCGTTGGTTATAGAGCTAAGGGCAGCATTAGTTTCGTCGGCGTTAACCGAATCGGGTGCCGGTGCAGGCGATTCGGCAATTTGTAGCGGCGGTTCTTCGTCGGCCAACATTCCCATATATGACGACATGTCGTCAATAGGATCGACAGCCGGCGGTACGTACTCTTCTTCTGGTTCTTTATTATAGTCATCCTTGAATACCGGATCACTCATGTCCTGCAACAGTGCTGCCACTGCCAGATCGTCTTCAATGGCTCTCTGGTCGTCCAATAATTCAGTTTCCTTGTTATTGTCGTCAGGCTTGTCGGCCAATGTGTCGACATCTGCGACACCAAACAGTATGTCTTTGCTGTTGCCGACAGTAGTGGTAATGGCAAACATTGTCTCCTCGATCGACACAGGCTTTGTCTTAACGATCGACGACGATGAGGACAACGGCGACGATTCTATTGGCATCGACTTGTGTGCGGCCAAATCGGCCATCAGATCCTCGAACGGCCGTTTGCTGATAATATCCTTCTGATGGTCGTCGCTATGGCAATCGTTGCGCTCTTCCATCAGCTCCTTCTGCAACCGTAGCGACTGTATGGCCGCTTCTTCCTCATAGCGACGCTGTTGTATGACTTTTGGATCCTCTTTAGTAGTCTGTTGTGGCGTTGTCTGCGGTTTAATCAGATTTGTCAGACTAGTAGTCGTCGGCTGATGACTGCCAATCGCCGGCACAGATGCCGTATTGTTCTTAGTCGACATTATCAGATCATCGCTGGAACTGTTACTTGAATCCGATATCTTGTCAGCCATCATACACTCTTCGAGCATTCGGGCGTTTTCGAGAATCTCTTCGTCCACTTTGCTGTCACCTGAAGAACTGTTGTCGTTATCTCGTCCGACCAACAGATCGTCATAAGTGGGCGATGCCATCGATGCAGACGACGACGATTTCATCATCAGCTGAAGATCGGGTGTCTTTGGCGGCGGCGATATCGATGGCGACGATGAAGACACCGACAGACTGTTTCGTCTCTTGAATAATATATTGTCGTCTTTTGTCTTCGGTTTTGTCGTATCGGTTAACAACTTCTTGGGCGACGACGACTCTCGTTCTCTTGTCGTCTCTTTTTCGTCTTTCTTTGGTTTTTCATGCAATGACGACTTCGACGACTCTTTCATCGACTCTTTGCCAACATCTTTGTCCTTCTTATCCTTTTCTTTATCCTTTTCTTTCTCTTTTTCTTTGTTTTTCATTTGTTTCTTCAATTTCTTTCGTTTTTCCTCTTTGGCCGCCATTTTCTCCTCTTTGGTCAGTTTCTGTTCAAACTGTTTCGGCCGCTGTTTGTTTTCGCCGTCTTTTTCCTTATCCTTTTCCTTAATCTCTTTCATAGTGTTGACAGCAATCGTCGACTCTTTCACCAATTTTTTCGGTGATTTAATGCCCGACTTGTCGCAGACACTCAACACAGACTGCTTGTCCTGCGCTGCTTTGGTTACCGATTGAATGTTTGTCGACAACTTGTTTGTCGGCGTCTTCGGTGTGTTGGCTGTCGCTGCCGCCGCCAATGTAGCCGATTTGTCGGCCGTGGCTTTCGTTGTCTCCGATTTCTCCCATTCGGTGTGCGAGACAACACCTCTTTGATGCTCTTTATGCGACTCTTTGTGTGGATCTTTGTGTGGATCTTTGTGTGACTCCTTATGCAACTCTTTGTGCAACTCTTTGTGCAACTCTTTATGCATTTCTTTATGCAACTCTTTATGCAACTCTTTATGTGATTCTTTGTGAGACTCTTTATGCGATTCCTTATGTGATTCCTTATGTGACTCTTTGTGTGACTCTTTGTGAGACTCTTTGCTCGGATAGCACTTCAGGACATGGGTTCGGGTTTCGCTGTCCGAGTGCTCCGATTCGCTGCTTTTAACGTCCGGATAGTCGCGTTTGAGTCGTTCCTCAAACTCCGACATTCCCGACGACCGCATCTCGTGATCGGACGAATCATTTGGTTCTCGTTTCGTTGTCGTAGTGGTCGACGATTCCGACGAATGTTTCATCGGTTTCGACGACGACGACATCTCATCTCTGTTGTTGGCCGACGACGAGTGGCGCTTCTCTTTCGACAACTTCGAAGCCTTTGACTTCTTCTTCTTGCGTTTGGCTAACTTCAACTGTTTGGTGTCCTCATCGGTACTCGAGATATCTTTGCGCTTCTTCATCGACATCAACAACTCTTTGTTGTTGTTGTCTTTGATGCTCTCCTTCGATATAATGTCTTTAGTATCAGCTTTCGATAGCTGTTGCTGTTGTTGTTTATTCTTTGACTTCAGTTTATCCGTCAGTTTATTGTCAACAGATGTTAGAGAAGAAGACCTTTCAGCCGACGACGACAACTTAGTCTCCGATTTCATTCCGAATTCTTTCAGCGAAAACTTATCCGATTTTGTTGTTGTCGTCGACGATGACGACAGCGACAACTCTTTGTCTTTCTTTGATTTTTTCTTCAATTCTTTCTTTTTCTGTTTCATCTGCTGTTGATGTTGTTGTTGTTGTTTGTGTGAGACAACAACCATATCATCATCGCTGGACTCATCGGTCGACTTGTTGTGCTGTTGGTGTTGTTGTTGTTTACTTTTGAACCGATCTTTGTTAGACAATTTGTTGGCCATCGTATGTTTCGGCGAACTTAGAATCGACTCGAATAAGTCATCGTCTGAAGAGCTGTCTGTAGTATAGACTGACGACTTCTCTTTGTGAGACAACTTCGATGACGACGACGACACAGTATTCTTGGATTTAGTAATCATAATATCCGAATCAGAGTCGCTGTCTTTGTCTCGACTGTTTGTAATCGACTTTTTCTTCTGCAACGACGACGACTGCATCGATGATGAAGACTTTTGATGACTACTTTGACTACTAGTCGTCTGTTGTTGTCTGTGCGAAGTACGACTGGCGTCTTCATCGTCATCGTTGTTGTCGTCATTATTATCATCGGACGAGTCATCCGACGAAGATTCGATAATTACTTTGCGTTTCTTTTGCGACGATTTCTTTTGTTTTGCAATAATACGTTCGCGAAGACTATCATCAGAATCGGAATCAGTGTCCTGACTGGTCGTACGATTTTTGTCGTTATCGTGTTTGTGTCGTTTGTCTTTCAATTGGCTAAACTTTTGCCGTACATTGTCCTCGACTTTGGCCACTTGACCGCGAATCTGGTTGGCACTCGAACGGGCCTTGACTTTGTCGTACATCGAGAAATAGATTGGTTCGTCCGGATCGGGTATAGACAACAGCATCCGAATCTCTGATGCCTTCAGTTTTCCGTCTTTTGACGACGACTTCTCGGACTTCTCAGACTTCGACGACTTGTCCTTCTTTTGTTTGTCTTTGTTATTGTTATCCGACGACGACTTGTCTTTCGATGACGACTTCTTATCAGACGAATCCCTACTATTGCTGTTATCAAACTTCTTGTCTGATTTCATGTCTAATGATTTATTTTTTGCAGACTTTTCCTTGTCTTTTGACGATTCTTTTACAGTGTCTTTTGACTCATTCTTCGACGACGACGACGACGACAATTGTTTGTTGTCTTTCATATCTTTATTATTATTGTTGTTATTGTGAGTCTTCATAAGCTTCTTATCGCTCTTCACTTTATTTGTCAATAATTTATTTTTGTCAACATTTTTGTCGCCAGACTTTTCCGATTTCTTATCCGACGAAGACTTTTCTGTTTGAAATTGTTTTTGTGATTTTTGTTGCATCAGATTATCCGATGAAGAACTAGTAGTAGTGGTGGTGTTAGTGTCCTTCAATTGGGAACCACTTCCCTGTGAATGTTTCGATAGTTTATCATTTGTCGACAATTTGTTGGCCGTCTTAGCCGACGAGGAATCGTTGGCCATCCGATGCCAATCCGACGACGACGACTCATTGGTCTCGTCGTTAGTCAAGTGTTTCTTGTTCTGCAAATTGTCAACCTTTTTAGTCAACAAATCGGGTCTCGGCGTCGTTGACGACGATTGTGTGATAGTTTGGACAGTAGTAGTAGTGGTGGGAAACAGGTTCTGGGCTTTGGATGAAAAGCCTCCGGCGGCCAAATGCGGCGGAAGTGAACCCGAATGTTGTTGCAATTGTGACGCCTTTTTGTTGAACTCGTTCTTCAGTGGTAAACCAGAAGAAGAAGAAGAAGACAAGTCTTTTTTCAGTGTCGACTGGTCTTTGAGGAGTGCGTTAGCCGTCAGATTGACGTCCTTTTTGAGTCCGACCCGTGGATCGCGATTTTCGCGCGGATCTCGATTCGCACATTTTGGCACATCTTTGCCGACAGCACTGCCGCTGTTGGCCGGTATTGTCGACTCTTTTTTGATGTTAAGTCCGCCCAATAGATTTGATTGCGGCAGACGTGTCGCTGCGGGAACAGCGGTCGATGCCGTTGAGACTGTCGACGACGACGACGTCAGAATTGAGTTCGTCGGTGTCGTTGCCGATACAGATGACGACGAAGACGTCGATGTAGATCTCGAGAACGGCGAAAACGGATTGGAAACGCTTCGAGCGGGCGCTGATGATGGCGCCGGCGTTAATGGCGTAGTCGGAGTGATCGGCTCCTTTTTGGCCGATGGTATTCGGCCGGTCGGTTCAGACAGTTTGCGTGTTAGCGATCCGGGAATCAATTGATGATGACTACTACCGCCGCCGCTGGCAGTGTTGGTGCCGCTGCCGGCGGTAGTCGTCGTGTGATGCGTGGATGTGATATGAGTGGACAGTGTAGACGATGATGATGTAGACGAAGATGAATGATGTGTGGATGAGTGATGCAGAGATGAGCTCTTTGGCGTCAGACTATCGGTGTTTGCAGTGACGACGACTGTAGCTGTAGATGAATGCGATTGCGTGGATGAAGAAGACAACTGCAGCTGAGTCGTCGGCGTCGAGAACTCTTTGGCCGCCGCTTTCGTCCGGAACACTGGCTTATGATTTATCGGTGACGTTAGCGACGGCTCGTATGCAATGTTGGCGATGTCTTTTGGTTCGTATTTTTCATTGATTAGTTCCAATCGTTTCGAGTCCTGATCGAAGATCGACGACTTTGATAACAGATTTTTCATTATATCCGACGGTTCGCTACTTTGCGAATCAGTACTCGAAGTCGAATTGATTTGACTTTTCTTTTTGATATTATATTTACTGTAGTCAATGGTTGGAGTCTTTTCGGTTTTCGGTACAATAGTAGTGGCCGTAGTGGTAGCCCCGGACCAGGCATTAATCTTGGCGTCCAGCGCTTTGATACGGTCCTCGATTGACGGCGATCTTTGCGGCGACATATCCGGATCGGATATCTCGTCAAATGTCGGTTCCAGCTGTTGTTGTTGTTTGACCGACAGTTTTGCTGCCATCAGCGCATCGACACCAGTAGTATTGGAATCGGGATTATCAGTGGTCGACACCAGCATCTCTTTGCTGTTGTCGATGATCATCGTCGTCGGCTGCTGTTGCGGTGGCGTCGGCGCCACTGCCGCTACTACTACTTGTGTCGGTGTTTTCTGGTCGACAACGACTCCTACAACACTGCCACGTGTTGTCGTGGCGTTGGTCTTAATCTTTGGCACTGCACTGTTGGGTGACATCTGTCCCAACGGTGACATAATTGTCGTACTTTTAGGCGACGCGTGCGACGACTGTATGGGAATGTTGGCCACTTTGGCTGACGCTGTGGCACCACCGCCGCCCGTACTCCCATTGCCGCCGCTGCCGACGGCAACTGCGACAGGAGTGCCCACTCTACTGGTGATAGCAAACTCGGGTAACGGTAGTGTCAGCGGCGACACAACTAGTCTGGTCAGTGTCGGCGACAGTAGCTTTTGGTTGACAGCTTTATCACTGCTGGACGACACCTCACTGGAACAGTGTTCGTCTAGTTTCGGGGTAGTCGTGTGCACCAAATCCTGTTTGGTAATCAATGTCCGATCGATGCACTCGATGCCCGTAGAGGACACCCTCGAAAGTACCGAAACATCTGAATCGCACGACATCTCGTAGATTGCGTCACTTCGTTCAAGTTTTCGGTGCAATTGTTTACAGTTAACGGCTGTATGGGTTGAACACAGTTGAGCGGTACACGAGCTGGCAGTTAGCGATGTCAGTGCCGACAGAGCTGCCGCTGCGGCCACCGAACATGTCGACGACGATAGTGCACCGCCAACAGACGATGGCTGCCGACGGGGATCGGGCCACGAATGGTTGACCAGCGCAGTGGTAGCATCGACTACCCTGAGACCGGGCAGTACCGACGCACCGGTATCTTTTGAACCGTATGAGCATTTCAATGACTTTGTACTAATAATACTATTATTATTATTATTATGCTTGGATCGCAACTTGGATGTCAATGTATTGTTGATGGTGGTAGTGCTAGTAGTTGTATCGGTGCCGATAATATCGACCAATTGCTGATGAGTGGAGCTATCGGTGCTCAACTGTATACAGTGTTCCAGTAGACTAATGACACTGCCTTTTGATTTGATATCACTGTTGATGATGGCACCGCCGGAACTGCTGGTGCGCCGTTTGAGCAATTTGGCCAACTTGCGCGACATAATCGGATCGCCGGCTACCAGTCCTTCGAGGTCGCGACCAGCGGCCGAACCACCCGTACTGCCTTTGGACGAGGCGTTTGTCGACGACGATTGCGAACTATTACTACCGGATCGTTCTTTATGGCCGGCAATGTCGACGGCGGCCAACAGTCGCTTCTTGCGCTCCAAATGGCCAATGTCTTCGCTACTGCACGTCGGTGTGTCCGGCGATTCGCTGTCCACTCGTTTACGTTTCAGCGACTCGCGGATACTGACACCGCCGCTGCCGCCACCGAAACCGTTATCACTGGAGTCGGACACCGAATCGGATCGCAATCTCAGTTCGGTAGGTATGTCGAGAAGAAGTTGGGAATCATCAGTGGATTTTCGTCGCCAGACATTTGATGAGCCGCACGACGGCTCAAATTCTTTGTCAATGTCGCCATCAATACAATCCGTACGAAGTGGCGAAGCAAAACTCGACGAACAAGGACTAGCAGTCGGACTTTGCGGTGTATTTTGGCCTTTCATTGCCGTATTGTTGGCGGCAGTTGTTGCGGCACTACTGTTCACTAATGAGGTGTTGACCGTCAGATGTTGTTGTTGTAGTAGTTGTTTGTCTTTTGGACTCTTGCTATGACTCAGCCTCCGAACCATCGGCGGCGGTGGCGAATGACATATAATGTCTGAATCACAGCTCTTGTGCTTTGGTCGTCGCCGTTGGCCGCCGTCCAGCGATTCAATTGACGCTGACTTCCATTCGTCATCACTGGGCCGTCGACTGGAGCACCGGTCCTTTAGGTCAGTGTCCAATTTGTTGATGATATCACTTTTCTGGTAGGGACTTGTGCTGCGGCCGTCCCGGTGTCGGCCGCCGACTACGACAATGTCTTTTGGACTCTCACTGCGCCGACCGGAGAGCGGCGAATAGGATTTACTGCACGTTTCGGAGGTCAACTCGCGGCCGCTGTTGCGGTCGCCGCGACAATAGCTGTCCCGATCGTCGTCGCGAAATGGTTCGCCATTGTCGTCGTAGTCTTCGAGATCATAGCTGCGATGGCGGCGCTGGTCGACAACGACAACATCGTCGACATAGGCGTCGGCCGATTGCGGGGCAAACCTTTGATAGGCTCGTCCCCGGAAACCGGCCGGCGGATTCCGTGCAAACAGAGGTGACTGTGGCCTGTAATTGCGGGCCGATGTGCGTGACTGATAGCGACTGTGTCCACGATTGTTAGTCGTCGGGTGTGTATCGTAGCACTGATCAAAGTCTTGCCACTGATTAGCACCCCCTGAACCGACACCACCGCCGCCGCCACCGCCGATATTGTTCGACAGTGGCCTACGTTGTTCCCATTGACGATCCGTCGGTGTCAACTGGCCGGTCATTTCCATGTGATCGAAGAAAGCTGTTTGGCACTCACGGCTGGCAAAGTCGACCTGCATTTTGCAGCCGCTCATTACCCGACCTTTCAAATCCTGGACGGCAATCTGGGCGCACTCCACATTATCGTAAAAAATTAGTGCATTACCCCGTTGCCTGTCCACCAATATGTTGACCACTGTACCGAATCGGTTAGCGTGCCACATCAGTAGTTTATCGGTAATCGTATCGATAATGCCGTGAATCCAGACACAAGTGGTTGGCATACTTTTGCCGAAACCGAGTTTAATACGATTTTGGCCCAAATTTTCGCCGTCCAGTTTGCGCATCGCCTTCACGACACTTGTAATGTCCGAGTATTGAATGAAGGCATAGGATGTCATGTTTGCCTGTTTTTTGATATCGATTTCCTGGTGGTGTCGATGCAAATGAATTGATAGAAACAAACAAAATAATAAATAAGAAAATAAGTATAAGATTAAGTGTGTGTATATATATAATCGATGAACAACAACAACAACAATGACATGCACTGGGTATGGGGGGTATAACTCGGGCTCTGTTAGCTCATGGGTTTAGAGTCTATATATATTGATACAAATAAATCGATTTTTAAGCCAATACTGACAGTTTGAACGACAAGTTTTTTTTAAGCCTATCATTTGTCTCTCTTTCTCGCTCTTTATCTGTCAATTGTATTGACAATCGATAGATAGATCCAGAGAGCTAACAATATGGTGAGAGGGAACCGGTAGGTCGATAACAGCACACATAGACAGACAGACAGACAGACAATACTTACGATAATCTCTCCGAACTGATCGAAATGGGCCTTCAGATCGCTGGTCGACACATCCTTTTCAAGATTGCCGACAAACAGCGTTCGGGTAGCTTTCGGATGATGTTCGTCCAGTTCGGCCTCTAGTGGCCTAAAATCGTTGTCCTCGGCATCGATACCTTCGTGAGCCGACACCTCAATCTTGCAGCCGAAAAACAATTTATCCTAAAAAATAAATAAAAATATAATAATTAAATAATTAATTATCAAATAATGATGGAAACAAATCAATAAAATAAATAATTATTTCATATTCATTAGTGAACAACAATAAAAATTATTATTTTTATTTTTTTCCAATAAAAGAGAGAGAGAGAGAGAGAGAGAGAGAGTTGTAATATATCTTTTTAATAACAAAACAAAAAATAAAAGACTAATTTCATATAATAAATAATAAATGGGAGAAAATTTTATTTTAGTGATCATTGAATGAGAAACATAGTAAATGAAATCAACAAAAATATATATATATTTTTATCAAATGAAATATCACATCATAGAGAAAACGAAAAATTATTTAATGTATTAATGAAATACTGCTGTATATAAAGTTGTTTTTTTAAAAAAAAATATTGAAAGAAAAATTGATTTACACAGCTATCCAACCAACAAAATAAAAAAAATATGGACTCAAATAAATATATGACCAAAAAAATAACTAAATAAATCAACAATAAAAAAATGTAACCCAAAAAATATTGTATATAAAGACCAGACATTCTTGAGTTTATGATATATCATAATAGAAAAAAATAATGATATATATCACTGGAAATGGAGATATTATGAGAGAGAGTGAGTGAGAGAGAGAGAGAGAGAGAGAGATCATCAAATAAAAAGGAAAGGCATTATTATTATTATTATTTAATTGACTGATATATCGTTACGAGACTGACCTTTGACTCGACCAGTGCTTTGTCAACGTCTTCCGGCTTTTTGAAGCATACGACCGCAAACCTGTCTGTCCCCTGACCGACCACTTTGACCATTGTGACCTTACCGTGCTTCTTGTACTCGTGGAACAGACCATCTTTTAAGCTCGAGTCTATTAGGGTAGTAGTAGTAGTGGAACAGTAGGATTAAAAATTTATTTATATATATATATTTATTAGGTATGTCCCATATGGGGGTTATGCAATTTATTATGTTATGTATGGCACGTGTATGTGGATGGGTGTGTGTGTGTGTGTGTGTGTGTGTGTGTGTGTGTATGTATGGCGGTATGTGAATGCCATCGGCACTGGCAGACAGAGAGTGAGAGACGGTGTGGTGTTATAAGATATATAAAATAATAATAATAATAATAATAAAACTAATGTATAGAGAAATGATAAATACTATATATTTTTTTTAAAAAAAATCAAAATAACATGAATGAGAGATTATTTAGATTTTTATTTTTATGAATAATTTATTTCATAACACACACATAGCAAAGATATATATATATATATATATACAGTACAAGTATTGATATGTTATATCCAATGAATAATTAATTTTATCAACATTTTGTATATATATATATATATATATATATATATATATATATATATATAGTATATAGTATATAGTATATATACTGTATGTGTCGGTGCGGCAAAAATCACTATTAACTCACAATTTTATGTACGCTTTTAAAATATGTCTATCCGTTTAAAAAAATAAATAAATTACTGTACATATAAAAAAATCATCAATAATAACTATAATAAAAATTAATGCTAAAATTATATATATATATATATATATATATAATAAAAATATTTTTTTTAAATGATGCAAATTTAAAAAAAAAACAACAACAAAATTTCTATTTATAAATTAAATGCTTAAAAAATATATTATTATTATTATTACTATTTTCAACATTATGATAATAGCTATAAACTAGTTTTTAATAGGAAAAATCTAGCTAATAATAATAATAAAGTAGTTAAACTATTATTATTTTTATTATATAATAATATTGAAATTGTCGGCAAACACTAAACTAAAACATTTTAATAAAAGAGAGAGATAGAGAGAGAAAAAAAAACTATTATTTCAATTATTAATAATAAACAGTACAGTACTCTACTGTTTAAATGTTTATGACTTTATTATTAAATGACTTTGAAAGTGCAATTCATAACAACAATATCATTATATTCAATATTATCATAATTATAATAATAATCATTATTATTATTATTATTATTATTTAAAAAACAGCCATAATATACACATATAAGCCATAAATATATATATATATATTAAGTCTAACAGCAAACAAACTAATGGCCAACTATTTTGTAGAGCTTATCTCCTGTATGTACAGTATGTATGTGCACACTGTATAATGACAATAACCCCTTTCCTTTTCGATGCTAATTATTCACTAAATAATTAATAGTAAGCACAGTTGGCATTATTGTGTGGTATGGGTGCTCGTGAGATAATGGCGGGGTGTTCAAGCATTATAATTATTTTTAATGTGTGTGTGTGTGTGTGTGTGTGTGTGTGACTAAAATATATTGAAAGGTATCGTCCGATAGGGGAGGGGTGGTGTGGGTGGATGGGGAACACACATACCTGTCGACCTGACGGGCAGATTCTTGACGCATATGGCCAACGGCCGACTATCGTCTTTATCAACTGAACTATCGGAACCGGGAGTTGCGGCGCTATTGTGTAGTGGCGTATGATTTGAACCCTGAGATGAGGTACTGATGTTGTTGTTGGTGGTCGTGGCGGCCGATATTAGCACTGAGTTACTGCCGCCGACGCCTCCGCCGCCGCCGCCACCACCGGAACGATCTTTGCGACTGCTGTACAATGATCTACAATAAAAACAAAATGCAAACAAATTAATTAATTAATAAATGGTTTTATGGTGACTATGAATCAAAATGTATGTATCATTTAGTAATTGATGATAAGTTGTTAGTTTTTGAAGGATGGGAGGGAAGCGGGAGGAAAGGGATCACTCACACAGACACACACACACAATGCAAGCAAAATATTTATTAATATAATAGATATTATAAAGAGGATAGTATAAAGATAATAGGTGTGTGTGTGTGTGATGTCAGTGGCATACAAATTGATGTCAAAACAAGAGAGAGAGAGAGAGAGAGAGAGAGAGAATAGGATAATAAATTATACGGTTTTGTCTTTCGAGTCAAAGACATTTGAAGACAATAAGTCATAGTATATGAATGGAGAAACTCATCTAAAAATAAAGAGATTAGAGGAAAGGGAGAGACCGTATTGAGATAAAGGGAAGGGCGGGGTAACTGTTCTTAGAGATAATGAGTTGGGGGGGATAGTTAGATTAGTAGAGCTCCGGGATGAAAGAGATGCAAACATTTCTTTTTGTATCATCAAAAAAGCTAAACCAAAAAAAAGAGACATACAATGGGGACTGAGATTTGGCCGGTGATGGGCTTCGGCTGCTGTGGCTGGACGTCGATATGTTTGATGAGGACGATGGCGACTGACTGCGCGCCGAACTAAGCGAACTGGAACGGGATGGCGACGGAGAAGCCGAATGCGAACGCAACGACTTCTTCTTTTTGCGCTTCTTGAGCGGCGGCGACGACACCGTAGACGATACGCCACCGCTGGTCGTCGTCGTTACCGATGTCATACGTCGCTGCTGAAGCAAAACGTTTGAACCGCCGCCGCCGACTCCGCTTCCGCCTGAGCCCAGTAGTAGTGGCGGCAGACCCACGCCCTGTGCGCTGCCACCACCACCTCCTCGGGCTGCTGACGATAGTGTGGTCGTCGTAGAGGTATTACTATTATCATCGAGTAGTTGTTCAGCTGATGATGGATATCGTTGTTGTTGTTGTCCATCAAAGTGGCTTTGGCTGCCGGACCTATTGTACGCCCGAAAGTGACTCTGACTTCTGTGAAAATATCAGAAAATATAAATATTTTTTTAAAAAATTATTGTTTTCATTGCACACACATATAAAAATAATTTAATAAATAGTATACACAGTATACTAATAATACTAATAGAAATTTTTGTTGATTAAAATTTATATGTATTTTTTATGTGTTATATTTAATTAGTTTTTTTTGGTTGTTATGTATTTTTGCAATACTTTTTTTTAAATGGGTTGTTATGTGTTTAGGGAATAGTATTAAATATATATATATATATGATATAAATATAATATATATTCAATTAAATTAATTCAATTAAATCCAAACTACATGTACAATATCTAACTAACTGTCCACTAGTTATTAGTTAAAAGCAATTTAAACTTATTGGATATTATTATTTTCTATCAATATTATACACACATTTTTATTTTTTTATATACAAGTTTAACCATTTAATTTAATATTATAATTTAATAAAAAAATTTAATAATAGGAAAGCCATGTCACGGCTTAAAGACACGTACCTGTCTATGCCATCATTATAACTATTATTATTACTATTATTAATATTATTATTAATAATATTACTATTATTATTATTATTTGTATTATTATTATTAGTAGTAGTAATGTTTCGACTAAAATGTCTATCACGAGATCGGCTTCGGTTGGGATAGTCGTTAGGGTCGTCCAAATACCCGACGTTCCTCTTTATATAAGGATTGTCTAATCGTTCGTAGCTATTGTTGTTGTTGTTGTTCAGTGAGCCACCTGTCCTGCCTTCCCTACTATCGTATAGTCTATCATCTGATAACCTGTAGATTATAAATGAGAAAAATATATAAGAAATTTCTTTAAAATATAAATTATATATTATATACAGTATATAGTCAGTCATATGATTAGATGTGATATATATATATATATATATATAACCCACTCATTCATACACTTATACATACACACAGAATATATAGACTTATTTTTAATGGAGAAAAAATCAATACCAGTGCTACAGTATTACACATCACTACTACATACATACAGTATAGTACACACTATAAAGTAATGGATAAATTTAATATAACAAACTTAACCTAACAGTGCTGAGAAAAAACTAATATAATCTCTATTATGTGAATATCAAATGCTATTACACAACATATACAACAGTAAATTAAATTGATTTTAATTATAAATACAACTCTATATATATAAAGTCTGTATATATAATAGTAAATCTCTAAAATATTTTATTTGTAAATATATTGCTATTTATTTTACAATCATATATACAGTATATATACAGCATATATTTACTGTATAGACATTAGATAGATAGACAACTATTCGAGGAAAGGTAGCTTTTTTTCCTAGTGTTTATTATATAATTTGCATTTTGCTATTGTTTATAATCGGGTAATGCCATAAATCAGTTTTTTACTATACACACAAAACAAAACAAAACAAAACAAAACAAAACAAAACAAAAAAAACTGTATTTCCATTTGAATACGTGAACTCAATGGCATAGAGTTAACCTAACCGTGCAAACAACAACAACAACACACCAAAAATTGGCAGTTCAATGGGTACACTATTGAAAATAATAATAATAATAATAATAATAATCATGATAATATAATACAACACAACAACAATCAGTATTATTATAAAACCAGTGTTTGCCAAATTAGATACATTGTATTTAGATGGCACATACATATATATACACAGCAGACACATAGAGAAAAACTGGTAGTTTTTTTTTGTATAATAGATAGGAACTGGAGGTATAGAGAGAGACAACAGTCCAGACATATTATATAATTAAAATTTTTTTGTATTTATTTAACCCGAGAGTCTACTAAATACATCACATAAATCAAGAGATCAATATCATCATTGCTTAGGCATATATATCATATCATATATATATATGCAAAATGTACGGTAAAAGGAGGTGTGTTTTCAAATTACAAAACTTTTTTTTTTATATATACAGTATATTAATAAAATATATTATATAACAAATATTCAAACAAATTATTATTATATATTGAAATATAATATTATAATAATTTTTAAATAAAAAACAAACATTAAAAATATTAAATTGTGAATACATTATACATTTAATGTAAATTTGATACATAGTATCTGATATTTAAAATTTACATTAAACTAAAATAAAACACATACACACACACACACACACCACTAGTCGCAACTAATATTATATATAGTATATATATAACAGCAATATTACTAATTGAAATAATAACAACAAAACAAACTAACTAACAAACAAACAAAAATAAAACTATCATTAAAAACCTAATGAAGATAAACTTATTTTAACAAAATTGTTTTTTTTTGTGTAACATATATACTGTATATACATAGTATACATATAGCTTAATGATTATATTATATGCCAGTGCTTGTAGTTTTTTTTCAATGACTTTTTTTAATACATATAAGTACAGTACATATATATATACTACTCTATAGTCCAACAACAACAACAAAAATTGTTGCGCCAATTGTCAACACAATTGCTTAATTGCAAACAAACTAATATTACATATACCTTACCTATCTTTCACACACATAAAACATACCAGTCCTTCATTAAACTCATTTTATTATTTAGTAAATTTAGTATATTTCTAAGCAAATAAGTTTATTATATTTGTAACTTATATATATATATATATACAGTATTAATTAATGATACAAAAATGATACAATATAACACTATTAGTGAATCAATTAGTATTATTATTATTATTATTTCTCAATATTTATTTTAATTAAACATTTCACATAAATCCTATGTAATGTAACTAAAACTAAACTAAATATTAGATACAATATATATATATATTTTATACACAAATACAGACAATGACATCAATGTTAGGAAATGCTTGGAGAAAATCCATTAGAAAATTATTTTATTTTCTAATGTAATGTTTTTTTCTGTTTGAACAAAAAATTAACTCAATTTGTGCTTTAAATAGGATATCATTTATTATTATTATTATTATATAAGTCTATTGTAAAAGAAATATATACAATCAAAATAACAAAAAAAATGGTTTAAATGTTAAATCCAATGATACAAAACAATACTATTAATATAACGAGAAAAAAACACATTGAGATAAATATATAGACAGTTATAACATATAAAAAATAATAATAAGAGTACTATCATATCATTTTGAGTTTATATATTTTTCTCAACAAAAAAACATTAGATAAAAACTTTATTTTTTTATATAGAAAGACAAAAGTTGAATATAATGTAATTAAAAAAGTTTTCATAAAAAATTGAGTTTTTTTTTAAAAAAAATTGTTGGTGTTATTTGAGATTTTTATTGCAATTGGATTTATTTAATATATAATCTAAAAGTGTATATTATATACACACTTTTGAAAATAATTTCAAATTTCCAACTAAATCCCTATATATTTAATTTCAAATCACAAATTATATTTATTTATATATAAATTTATATATTATATATATAATCAAATAATAAAAAATATAGTTATTATCATTATATATACAGTATATATATACAATATTAAAGTTTTGAGTTTTTCAAACCCTAAATGTGTTATTGAAAATCAATCAGAAACATTTGAAAAAATATGATATTATATAACTTATAGATATTATATTAATAATATGAAATACTTGAAGAAATATATATATATAAAATAAAAACTTGAAATTGATTTGAACATAATATATATATATAAACCAAAATTTTTTAAGTACTGTATTTATATTTTATAGATATTGCATTAAAACACACACACATATAGATTAAGTTTTCAATTGATTGTTTAAATAGTGAAAGTAATCGATAAAATTGAGAAAATATTAAATTTATATAATAATAAAAATCGATAGATAAAGTCTATGGTAACGTTTGGTTTTTACGATAGGAGACTAGCAGTCAATCAATAAATATATATATATATATATATATATATATATATATTATTTTATATATATATAAAATCATATTTGATTGCAAAAAAGTAGCAAATCTAAGCAAACAGTCAGTCAAAGTAAAGGAAATCAATTGCAAAGTAAAAATCAAAATATATATTGAATAAAATGACAGCACAGGGAGTATACTATATATATATATATATAGTCATAGACATCACTCACTCAAACTCTCACTGTTTTTCTCTCTCTCTCTCAAGAATTTGCAGAATATTCCCTCTCTATAGACAAGAATCTATATTATAAAAAGCAATACAAAGATGGGGAACAATATAGTGATTGAAAAAACATTGAACAGACAGTAGATGAGAGAGAGAAAGAGARAGAGAGAGAGAGAGAGAGAGAGAGAGAGAGAGAGAGAGCAATCAAATAATGTTGGATTTTGTCCAATAACTGGCAATAAATCTTTTATAAACAAATAACTTTGAAATAGCATAGCTATGCACATAAACATACTCACACTAGAAAACCCAACAAATACTAGTAATAATAATAATAATATATAATATATTATACAATACAAAAAGTTTCGCCATGAGATTGAAGACAATAATAATAGACAATATATTCGCATAAATATAGCGATAAAAATAAAAATAAATTATGTTTCAAAGGGATCTCTCTCTCTCTCTCTCTATTTGATGCAATCAAATCAAACAATAAAAAAGTAGATTTCCATTTAATCAGTAGTAATACCCGATAGATATTTTTTTTGTCGATATTTTTTCACAACACACACACACACACACACACAATAACACCCAACAAAATTAAAAAACATGACACAAAAAAATCTAATATATATGCAAAACATATATACAATTTAGTTTGACGACAACTATAACAACAACTACAAAACTGGTGTAGGAGTGTGTATGGAGGTATGTATGGGTAGTAGAGTAAGGAATAGTAGGTTAGGTTAATGATAAATATAACAAAAAATTTAGACAACTAACCAAAAAAAAGATAAATAAAAATTTTTATTTTATTTTATTTTTATTCAACAAATAATCCATTTTTCTGCTCAAATCTTATACTAAATCTATGACATAATGCAAACGACATATAAGTTTCTACTGTTTGTAAAACAGGATATATATATAGTTATTTCAATACATTTTTTATATTATTAAAAAAATCTTTTCTCTAAATAAAACCAAAAGTTAAACATCAAAAACTAAAACATATGTTTAGTCAAAGATTTATATATAAATATGTTATTATTATTATTATTATAACTATTTCATATTAAATGTTGAACAAAAATTGCAAACAATTTTCATGATTGAGGATTATATATAAAATACATATTATTATTATTACAATTATAAATATGTTTTATATATCAATATGTATTTAAAAAAAAAAGTTTATATGCGTAGGCTTTTATTCAAACTAACATTAACTTATTATATATACTTTAATATTCAGACATAACATCTCTCTCATCCATTTGGGGGTCGGTATTAGATCAAAGAGGCATTTATATGGGAATGGCATATTAAATACAGATAAAGTACTATACTATACTATAGTATCTATATATACACACACATCCAGCAAATGTGTTGATGAGATTTAGAGATCTGTATTGCCATCAAAATCTCATATGTTATGATCATTAAGCAAAAACATATACTCTCTCTCTCTCTCTCTCTCTCTCTATATATATATATATATATATATATATATATATATATATACAATAATATACGGTATATGAAAGCAAACACATTCACAAAGTTTTATTATATAAGCAGCAGTAGTTAATGTAAGCATTGGCAT